GAGAGATAGATGGATAGATATATAGATAGATAGATAGATAGATAGATAGGTGTGAGTGACTAAGTGAGTGAGTGAGTGAGTGTGTGTGTATGTGAGATAGATAGATGGATAGATAGATAGATAGATAGATAGATAGATAGATAGGTGTGTGTGTGTGTGTGTGTGTGTGTGTGTGTGTGTGTGTGTGTGATTTTTTTTTTTTAGTCATTCACTGATTAGGTTTTTATGACAAATAGGATGCTATTTCACAAAGCTGCTGCCTATGTAGACAGCAAACAGCAAGGCAGCCCACTACGTTTTGGAACAAAGTTGTTCAGTAGTTCACTTAAAATTCCATCTCAAAATGTTCCATTCTGGAACATTATAAATGCTATTATACACTCATGTACAAAAATCTCCTCTCAGAAAACGCACCTACCATTACCTTTAAACTGCACTGCAGCGTGCTTGCCCTAACGAGCAGGATAATAATCAAAGCATAGCTGAGCGTATAGCTTGTTCATCCATGCACAGATATTAGTGACAGCTGTTGCACAGGCATGGCTGTATCTGCAGCGAGGAGCGTGTTAATGGCTATGAGCTCGCTCTAACGCTCACCTTACAGTTACGGTTACTGCAAATGCTGTCAAATCATGTGTGAAGATCTACGGGTAATATTTATGGGTGGATTAATTGGTCCTTGTGATTCTAAATGGTGTTAAACTCAGAGTGCAAATACAGAATATAGATAAATTGATGCTTATGTAAATGAAGTAGTTTTAGAAGTAGAAGAATTATACTTTCATGTATAATTTTTCCCACAAGTGTGTAGTGTTACTGAGCTTGGGAAATTGAAAGGTTTTTAAGATATCACTTTTGATTTTAGTTCAAATTTAAAGAAACAATTACCCTCAAATGCATTGTCATGTCAAACTCATATGGCTTTCTTTTTTCCATGGAACACGAAAGGAGATGTTTTGAAGAATGTTCACGCTGCTCGGCATACACAGCATACAATCACCAGGAGCTGTCAAGCTCTAAAAATGAGACAAAACTATGCAAAGTATGCTCATATATGATATATTCCAAATCAATAAGACAAAAAAATAGGTTTTGCGTTCTCTGTGTATTACATTCTATTAGGGCTGTCAAAAAAAAATTAGAATTTCGAATATTCGTCGAATTAAAAAAAAAAATCCACATTCGAATGCAAAAACGTT